CAGATGGTTTGTGAACTGACGTTAGAACAAACTCACAGTTAATGTTAGGATGCAGCTCAAAACTGATGCGTATAGAACTGAAGTCACTTAGCTTTAACTTGTAAGCAGTTTGGGTAAATATTACATCTTTGTCTCTTTGAGACATCAAAGATGTGGCCTCGGTCAAATTAAAATTATGAAATTAAGCATTCAGGTGCTTCCATAATCTTTAATTATCAAGTCTATTAATAAAATAAGCAAGGGTACAAACAAAATTCTTTGCTTTTGTTGCCATAAACAAACAAAATGCAATCACAGGTAGAGAGATGCTGCAAATACAATGTCTCTCTTGATCTTGGAAACAGCTTCTTCTAGTTTAGCTTCAAGCTGTGTTTCTCCAATTGATTTTGCAGCTACTATGAGCTGTTGCAGAACTTCCTCCATTCTCCTTATCGCTCTGATCAAGCTCCCTTCGAAAACACGAGCAATCTCCATGATCTCATAAAACTTCGACCCTTTTGCCCACGCATACACAGCCTCCATTATATCCGGTCTGAACGAATGCACAAAACTCTCCACATCGATATCAACCTGTTACATTGTCACAAAAGACACAAAGTTATGAACTCAAATCTTTGGTCACATTTTACTGGACGAGCAGATTAAATGAATACCTTGCTTTCAAGCTGAACTTCAGCGACACGCCTGGCTGTGTCTTGTAACTGTATGAAGAGCATGTCGAGTTCTTCTCTGGGTTTAGCTGCGTCAGGGAGTCTCTCTCGCCACACAAAGCAAGAGAGGAGAGAAACCAACTCCTCCACCTTTGCTTCCTTGAAGACACCACTGAACATAAGCTCCGTTAATGTCAACTCTTCTGCACTACTGATTTCACATGCAACCTTCCCTTTCAACTCCACAACACCATCGCTGGTTATGTATCTGCGTTAAAGGAAAACATATTAATTACAGTCAGACAAGATTGAGGTAGAAAGTTGAGTTAAGAATACTTACCCTAGCTTTCGTAAAACACGCTTTCTGGCCTTGAGTTCATCTTTAAACGCCAATGCTGTTGAGGATCGGACAGTCTTCTTAAGTGATTTGATCTTGGCTGTTAGCTCTTCTTTCATGTGTAGAACTTTCAGCTTCTGTGCTATGAGTGGAGATTTTGCAATCTTGTGTTTTTCAAATAGGTTTTCCACAGCCTCCAGTCTACGAACTGTCTGTTTGTAAGAGCTGCTACGGATCTAATGAAATAAAAGTTTGTATTCATCCCTAAGAGACAAATGAAAGAGGGCAAAAACAGAAGACTAATAGAGTAAAAAACAATATACCTTCATATCAACTTCAGGATCTAGGGGTATTCCATCAGGATGTCTAGAGAGTAACTCAGAAACCTTCTTCAGAGCATTCTCTCGAGCTTCAAGTTGTAAATAATCTTTCGGTATATTCATGATTGCACTGCTTAAACTCTTAATCTGTCCATGATAATAAAGAATAAGATCATCAAAGCAGAATCCGGGGAGGATCAGCCACATAAGAATGTGTAAATATTATAAACATACCTGAGATAAAGGAATAGAGACCACAACGGGCTCACCACGTTCTTTAAGTGGCACAGGCTTAATTTTCTTTTTACCAGCGCCATCTCTGCTGACCAAACATCTAGTCAGTACATCTACGGTGTAGTTTGCATCCTCTGGTCTTCTATTATCATCATCTGGAACAAGTACTCATGTCAAGATTGAATCATCACTGTTTAAAAGAGATTACTAACACTTAAGTCAGAAAAGTAACTCTCAGAATTCTAACCTTCAGATAAGCTTTTGACTTTATTGAACTTCATTATCACTCCCCATGTATCCTGATCTTCAATGCTGAATGATTGTGGCTCTCCATCATCATTTGAGCACTCGAGACAAACAGCTCTGTTTGGCAGCAGAAAGGGTAAGCAGTACTTTGGAGAGAACACAATTTCACGTATATCCTTCTTCAGACTCTTGTATTGCAAAATCAGGTTATAGTAATTCTTTAAGCTTTCTTCTTCTTCAATCACCATAGAGTCTCTCTCTTCTTGAAGAGCTTTTATTTGCTTCTGCAAAGACCAGAAAATAAAACCACATCATTTAGGTAAAGTGAGCACTATATAATCAATAAATAAATCAGGCATTTACTCATTATGCAACTGCACCTCAAGATCCGGGATAGCACGGTCAGATTGAAACTGAAAGAATGAATTGCGGAGAAGATTCTCAGGATCACCATCTTCACTCCGCAACTGGTTTAGAAGCATGTTATAGCTCAAATGGAAGGCACTGATGGAAAAGTGGGAAAGAAAACAGCATAAGTCAATTACTGAGGTTTAAAGGCACAAAATCAAAGATACTGATCATTTTTGTACCTGTTCAAAGAATCAGCACTTCCTTTGAGCATTGATTTAGCAACCGCAGGTTCCATCTTCTCATCAACCATGAGGATGCAGATACCTCGTTTGTCAATACCTCGACGTCCAGCACGACCACTCATCTGAATGTACTCACCACTAGATAGCCACCGGAACTTGTCTCCATCAAACTTGCGTACATTTGTAAACACAACCGTCTTTGCCGGCATGTTCAATCCAATACTAAATGTCTCTGTCGCAAACAAACACTAAAAAAAAAATACATCAAACGTGAGAAAGAGAAGAAAAAAAATTCAAAAGGGGACTAAAACGAAGTGGGGCATGGCACAGAGAGTACAGGCAAACATCATAAGATTACATAACTAACAGATCTAGAAGGTGCACGAAATGAAAATAGGGAAACTGTAGCTCTACGCTTTCACATACCTTAATCAGACCTTCTTGAAATAATATCTCAATTACTTCTTTTAAAATTGGAAGCAGACCCGAATGATGAACGCCGATACCACGTTTTAAGATGGGTAAAATATTTGAAACCTACAGTACACAGCCATAACAACGTCAGTTTTCCCCGCAGAACAAGTATATCCAACAACCTAATCACGCCTAGAACTAGACCAACAAAAAAGAGGAGCATCAGGAGCAAGGAATATAAGCTATCACATGTTAGTGACAAGTATAAAACTTAGAAACATAACTTTTGTGGTAACGAAGGTGCCTACAAGGCAATCAAAATTTACAAGTCTCAGCCATTATTCAAAGTCTAAGGCATCATAGAAAGAGGTTTAACGAATGCTTGCCTGTGGTAGCTTCTTATCATCATCTGAAAGCATATCGATTGCACTAGTAAAGATTGTCTCTACGGAATCTTTCTCATCGTCGCTGTTTAAATCCATCTTAGACATCTGTGGAGCATACAAAGAGATTACAATCACGTTTTAGACAGTACGAGATGATAAGCACACAATGAACTTCAGGTTTAACAGTACACATAAAACAAGACACTGCAAGGTGCAGGGACACTAAATCATAAAAACAAGTGTTAAAATGCTATGCAAACAAAATATACACAAAATAAATTGAAAAGAACACTGCTGAATGTAACAAAATACTGTTAGACTATCACAGTCCACTCTTTACCCACGCATAAGAAGAAGAAACGAAAAATCCTAAGTTTTTGAACAGATTTTTCTTACTTCAACAGAAACGAATTTCAGATTTCTGTTGGGCTATAGATACAAACAAAAAAACATCCCTTAAATGAGATAATTAAGTAAGGACTACACAACCCACTAAAGTTTTTCAACCACTTACATAAAAAACATTTTTGGTAAGAGTATGAAGAGGAAACTAACCTGCATAGCAAGTGCCTCACATTCCTTTTTGCTGAAACTGAACAAAATCACGGGATCATACTGCCTCTGAATTATCATCTTCACCAACTTAAAGATATCACTTTCTTCACCAAGTTTTCCAAGTATCAACCCCTTTTGAGACTTTCCATTCTCTCTTTTCTTGTCAGCATCATTAGCAGGAACCAATGCGTTAAGAGACTTCTGGAAGCTTTCCTCGTGGAATTTAGCCTTTTCATCCACAACCAAGTAAAGCCCACCACCTCCGGCTGGAAACACATAGTGCTGAAGCGGAGTTGGCCGATAATCAGTGTAAACAATATGGCATGGTTGTTTGTGAACCTGCAAAATCAACATTAAAATCAAATCTCCAGAGAAACCAAACCAAATAAAACTTTCAACTTCTTTTCACTTGAACAAGCTTTGTTATCATGTCAACTAAAAGAAAAACCATGATATGGAAGTTACATTGCATATTGCCAAGGCTACGAAAACCAGAATCACATTGTATATAATGTATTATTCCATTCAGACTAGAGATGTAGAAGGATAAGCAAGAGAGAATCACCTTTGCAACCCAATCAGCAAACTCCTTGGCATTAGGCACAGTAGCAGAAAGAAACACAAAACGAGAATTCTTGGGAGCCATCACGATACTTTCTTCCCAAACCACACCTCTTTCACTATCACGCATGTAATGCACCTCATCAAAAATAATCCAAGCAACCTCCCTCATAACCTCTGAACCTTTATACTGCATACTACGCAAGATCTCTGTGGTCATAACCTGAAACAAAAAAACACCAAAAAAATAAGAACAAATAGCAAATTAAAGCAATTTCTGAGTCAGCATCAAAGATCACTTACCAAACAAGAGGCATTAGGATCAATTGTGACATCCCCGGTCATCAAACCAACGTCAGAAAACTCTTCTTTAAAATCTCTGTACTTCTGATTACTCAATGCCTTTATAGGAGAGGTGTAAATAACCCTCTGGTTCTCCCTCAAAGACATGGCGATAGCATAGGACGCCACAACTGTTTTACCAGCAGATGTATGAGCTGAAACCTGAACATATAAACCATACACTTTCAGTTTATTTCCCATTGAAAAATCCATTCTTTCGAAACCTAAGATGATATCTACACGGTTTTATTACATAGTGAGCATAAAAGTTTAAATCCTGAAATCAGTTATTCAGCTTGAGTCACTCAGAATTGCAGAAACCAAACAGACAACATATTCAGACACCAGTAAAAACCATTCTTTCCGAACCTAAGATTATCTCTACACGGTTTTCTTACATAATAACCGTAAAAGTTTGAATCTTGAAATCAATTATTCAGCTTGAATCACTCAGAATGACAGAAACCAAACAGGCAACATATTCAGACACACAAAAAAAACATTCTTTCCGAACCTAAGATTATCTCTACACAAAAAAAAAAACATTCTTTAAGTCGATTAGTCAGCTTACCATGACAGATTCGCCATTATCGAGACACTTGATAGCTTCGGACTGGAAGGAGTCAAGGGTGAAAGGGAACTCTTTGGCCGGTGGTTTGTTGTCTCCTCGAGCAAGAGGAACGTAGTTTTTAGGGAAGGAGACGTCGTGAACACAACCCACGAGCTCTTCGTTGACGATTTGAGTGGAATCATCGTCTTCTCTCTGAAGCTTGTGTGGTGGAGCACAATCAGAAGATTCCTCCAAAGACTTTCTCTTCACGGAACCCATGGAGAACGGGTTTGAATAGTTTTTGTTGACTCTCAGGCGAGTGCTAGAGCTCTGGTGCTAATGGAGAGTTCGAGATGGAAACGCCGTCAAGGACTTCTCGGCCAACAAACGGTATATGAGGATATATTAGGTGTTGATTGTAACAGGAAAGTGAGGATAAGGGTGTTTTCGGGAAAACACGTACATAACTTACGCCCAATCAACGAAACCCTAAACCTAAATCACTTCAAGGTTTATCGAACCCCTTGATCACTATTTCATTAGTTTTTGATTTTTTTTGGAATTTCTTTTGTCAAAAAAAGAAAAAAATTTGGTTTTTAGTTTCTAGCTTTTCACTTTTAGATTTTGATTTTGAATTTTATTTTTAAATATATATATATAGCCAGATCCATAAAAATTAGGTTCTTTAAATAAATACTTGAAATGACAAGAACCAAAATAAAAAAAAAAAAATATCAGATCAAAAATAAAATCTCTAAAATTGAAATACCCTATATCTGATAAATCATAACCATATACAATCTAAGTATGTGATCAGGTAGTCTTTTGAATTTAAATAGCTTCTTTGTTGACGGACCATGTAAATAATTGAATTTATGGACTAAGGTGATGATTGTTTGTAGTTTTTGAATTAGTTTTTGGTTTTTGTTTTTTCAAAAACAAGTTTTTACCCAATCAAGATTTTGGTTTTTGTTTTTAGTTTTTGTAAAAACCAATTTTTTGCCAATCAAGATTTTTAATAAATAGATTCCCTAAATTTTAGGGACACTGGTTTTTGAAAATTTTAATCAATTTATGAAGAGAAACCAAAAACTCATTTTTGTTGGTTTTTAGGAATAAAAACGAATTTTTCTTTATTTTCATTAGAAAGTGGTACATTTTAACAAGCTAATAATTAAATAATAATACTTTATAAAGATAAAAGTCTAATAAAATTTTGGTACAAAAGATAACATTTAAGCAATAATGTTTAATCATTTATTTATGTTGCATGTCAAAATAAATTTATATACTTATATGTAATATTAAATAATTGAAATTGGTTATTCATTTCTACACATAAATTTATTTAATAATTTAATAATAATTAGACTTATTAAACAATAACTTAAATTATAAAAACATCAAATTTTATTAATAAAATATATTATATTAATTTGAAAAAGAAAAAATTCCATTCAAATTTTATAATTTAAATTACATACAAATTTTCTTATAAATAATTTTCATATTTTAATATTTTAAATATTGTATAGTTTATAGTTATTTTATGATTTATAATTTAGCATAATATAAGTTTCTTAAATATATAATAATTAAAACATGTTAATGTATTTTGTATTATTAAATAATAATCATTATATTTTAATATTAGATTTTAAATGATTTATTTCTATTTTTGTTGTATTATTCTAAAATAATGTATTACTTCTTTTTTTTAAAAAAATTTAAAAACGACAGAAAAACCAAAAACCAAAATCAAAATCTAAAAACTAAAACCAAAAGCTGAAAACCAAAAATAAAAAAGCCAAAATCAAAAACCAAAAACAAAAATCTAAAACTAAAATCTAAAAACTAAAAACTAAAAACTAAAAACTAAAAACTAAAAACTAAAAACTAAAAACTAAAACTAAAAACTAGTGTAAACAATCATCACCTAAATCTTGCTCCAACAGACTATTTGCTTAGTGCACATCATTAGAAATGCATAACTTTCCTTGTTTGAAAAGTATGTAACACAGCAGTAGATTCAGGAAAATCTCTATGGAGATTTTAGAGTTTGTTTCCAGTGATTAATTGATAAAAGTTAAGAGCAACTCCACTGGAACTGTGATATATAGAAAGACTGTTGGAGATGAGAATCAATTGCTCCTCTGCAACATAAGGTAAAACATCAAATGTTCAATTCCCAATATATTAATTGAGAAGCATTTAAAAAGATATAACCATAAGTTTGTATTAACTAAAAAATAACTTCATCTTACATGATATATTTCTATGCTTTTTAATTCAATTTAGAAGAATTTTAGAGCACTTTATATAAACTATAGTCTAAAAATAATATTCTTTAGCAATATAATATTTTACAGGCTATAGTTAGTCGCATATATCAAATATTTATTTTTCCGCATGCTTTCCTTAAATAAAACCTATGGAATTACCTAATGTGATTAAAATATATATATGGAAATTAATAATTTAACAATAAAGATTTAATAACAATTTTTATACTTTTTATCATTTTTTATTTCTTTATTATTAAAATAAATTATACAATTACATTAATCATATAATAAAAATCTAGATTTTTGTGTATGTTGTATTTCAAATTTTGCAAAACGACTATAAATTGCTAATACTGTTAAAAGTCTCACATAAGTTTTTATGATCAAGATTTAATATTTTTCTATATTAAGATACAATTATTATAAAACCTTATGAAGAAATAATTTTATTTTAATAGGTTTTACGTTAATATATATACATATATATATATGTATCATATCTTTTAAATTAAACTATACATCGTATGAAAATATATACTTATATTTTGATATTTGCATTGAACATATATTGAAAAGTTAATATTTTAATTTTAAAATCTGTCATTGTTTTTTATAAATGATTATAAATTATTGAAACTACTAAACATCTCACATTTTTAAAAAAAAAAATCGTTGGTGTAAATTTTGGTTACAAAAATAAACAAATAATCATAAAATCATATGAGTAGAAACCTCATTTAATAAACATCCATATTAAAAGTGTGCTATATATCTATATATTAATATCATTTAAATTTAATTATATATCATATACGACATATAAGATTGATTATTTTGATTTATTTATCCTAATTGCTAATAAGCAAGAGCGATCGTTAGATTTATATGCACACGCCAATTTATTACATTATAGTAACTGATTTCTTTGTTATTTAATATATATACTTATTATTTTATTATTTCATAACATGCAGAAAAACATAAAATAAATATAAAATACTTATTCTGCAAAAAAGTGCAGATCTTAACCTAAGTATGTATCTCCTTAATTGTTTTAAATCTTAAGCATTTCTAAATCTTAGGCCAAAACAAATAAACGAAATGAGAATAAACTTCAAAATCAATATTTATATCAAGCAATAACCAAAATGAAAAAGACACAAAAAGAAAAAAAATATTGAAGATATATATGATTGACATGTGAACGTAAACTTCTCATAACCATAATTAATTTTTAAATTGCTAAATCATGATATAAAACCGAGCTGACATATGATATACCATGGATTTTACCCACTTTCAGCCATGGTATATAAGTGTTTTAAGATATAATTATTATGTTTTGGAGTCTTTTTAGAGTATTTACGGGTTCAGGTACGTTCTGAAGAAATATGGTGATTTTGGTGTCTTTTGGAGCCCTTTATATGCAAGACTGCACAGACGTACCAGATGTTTAGCTATGGATGGAGACTTCTCCCCGTTAGATTGAGCCCATCTTTTCACAAATGATAGAGCTTTTTGTTAGCTTTCCAATGTTTGGTAAACTACTCCTCTTCTTGCACAAGTGTGTTGATGGCTCTTTTCAATGCAAACACTCGGCTCAAATTGGTATTGTTTCCAAATGTCTTCTGGAGAGTCTCCCACAAGTTTTTAGGCGTCTCACAGTAGATGTAGGCTTCCAAGATATGAACTTCAAGTGACCCTTGCAACACGAACACCACCAGGTCATCTTGAACCCATTTCTTCTCATCAACTACCGCAAGTTCTTTGCCTTCCTAACCTTCACCACTTTCCTTGGCCACTGGTGTTGGAGCTTCATTCGTGATGTGACTCCACAACCCTAGCCTCCCAATACCAGTCTTTACCAACCGCGACCATAGTAGATAGTTTCCCCCACCTTTGAGAGAAATCGGAACCGTAATCAACTTGTGGTTAACCTCCAATTTGCTTGTCTTGAATCACTAAGAACACACAGATTAGAACTTGAAAGAAGCTGAAGAACACATGAATCTCAATACCAAAGCCAACCTGTCTCTGATACCATAATATTTTTGCGAATAGAAAAGGTATTGAGTGATTTAAAGAGAGTTTATGTAGAGAGAACACTACAAGAAAAATACGTTTTAATAGCGGACGAATAACGCTATCTAACGATACGATAGCGGTTTTTGAAACGCTGTATCATCGCCCGTCATAATAGGTAAAGGAATTAGATAGCGGTTTTTAGCGCTGCTATCTTTTCTTCCGCTACGATAGCACTTTTCTATCTGCAATTAAATATTTTTTAATAGCATATAATTTTCGTTATTATTTCTATTCTAAAAAATAAAATAAAAAATAAAAAAAAACTAAAAACATAATTAAAATTTAAACTCGTTTATATATTTAATTTTATTAAATTAAATGATTTATAATTAAACTGGTTTACACAAATATAAAAAATCTAATTAAATGAAAAGGACTAAACCAAATAAACCAAAAACTTAAACCTAAACCAAGTTTAAACCTAATTGATAACTAACTAAACATATGCAGCCGCCGCTCCACCACCAGCTTCATCGTCTTCTTCATCTTGCAGTCCACCACCACCACCTTCGCCGTCGCATCCTCACCGCAAGACCTAGACCACCAGAGTCTCTTTCGCCTCCTCACCTAAAATCCAATGACCACCACATCTGCTAACAATCACCACTTTAAGAGTGAACGGGGCAGAGTGGGAGGGATGGAGCGGTCGTCGCAACCAGAGCCATCCTGGTCTTCGTCGTCTTCACCTTGCTCATCGTGTTCCTGGTCTTCTTCTCCACAGAACTTTAGAGATTCAATCGTTTCGTTTCCATGGCTCGAGACGGTGTCGACGGCTCGAGACGGTGACGGCGGGGCGAGATGCTGCAAGCTGGAGATCGGTGACGACGGCGACGATGTTCAGACTCATCGAAAGAGTCACAAAGAAGGTGGTGGTGGTTGTGGTGATGTGCATGATGGCTCCGGGTAGATAAAAGGAGACGGATGGGAAGTGGTTAACTTTGAACCATGGACGAAGTTAGGTGGTGGATCGGAGATACCAAAGAGAGAGAGAGGAAGAAGCATGATGAATCAC